AGAATGAATGAACGAAAAATAGGTATATATATATATATATATATATATATACATGTATATAATTAACAACCACCCAAGTGACAAAATAATGTCAACAACATTACTGGGTAGACCAAATAAAAACACACTCTACTTAATTTCATATTGCAAAGAGCGCGCACAACACAAACCTATGCATCTATATCTATCAATCCATAGAAAACATACCTAAGTACCAAAGCAAAATAAAATGTTTAGCTTTGTGGGCCTGACGTGGTTTGGAAAATGGAAATGCAAACATTCGGTACACCAGTACGGAAAACCAAAAATACACGCAGGCATACATACATAAATACATACATACATACACACACACACACACACATAAAGACACGGCTTACATAGCACACATAGAAAAATGTTGGCAGCACACAAATAACCGAAAACAAGCGGCAGCTTCGATAATACAATAGTAAAAACAACAATCGTTTCCCATTACATATACTGTGGAATACTTAATTTTTTCTAATGAAATAAATTAATCGAAGGAGACATTTTTTCTTTTTTTTTCTCTTCTTTGTCATCCTATACCGAATTCGGGAAGCGTAACAAATGCTTCTGTAACAAGCTTGTTATTGGAAACTAAAAAAATAGAAAATCAAAAACGAGGCGGAAAGTTATAGTTATTACTGAACGAATCTCGGATACCCATCACCCCAAGCAAATATGCGACATTGCGTCATTGTCATAATATGAGTATTGCATTGAACTTTTTTTAATTTTGTTTTTTTTTTAACCTTTGTAGACGCGGTTGCTCTCTTTTAACTATTCATTAAATGTGGGCGGACATTTATCAATTTTTAAATGTGACGTCAACTGGGTTTAGATTCACTGACATAATCGATACAACTAATCCAGTTTCGGCAGAGGCTGCTGATATGAATTTTACGGCGGCCAAGAATATAAATGCATTCTTTATGATGCCGCTAATGATTTTGGACGTTACGAGCAACACGAGAAATCTGTTATGCTTCATCTTTAAGCAATAAGGTTATACGATAAGTAAGTAAGTCAGAGAAACCTTTTTCCTAACTCAAGCTTTCACATCGTTCTGTTATGTTCGAGAAGTGTTACTGTTTAATTTTCACATGCAATAGCCAGCTGCGCCGATTTCTAAACTGTTCTGTTTTGTTCGATAGATTCCCGTTATTTAGAAATGCTTATGCTTTACTGCCTACTTTCAGTTTCTGAGCCATCTTGGCCAAGTAGTAGATTTCGTCGATCATTCTGGGGCACGCTTTTACAATTGTGAAGATCGTAATAGCTTGTGGCAGGAAGCTAACGCTTAGCGTACCATTAGCTTTCACGTACTAAATTTGATCCACCTGTAAGCATCAATGACTATTTAGAAAAAGCAGAAGAACTTTCGGAATCCAAAGTTTTTAATATCTTCTGTGACTTTGCCTGTCATTTAATTTCGACGAACTTCCAGACGATCAAAAGAAAAGAAAGCCTGCTTAACATTTACATCGTCCGCATGCGTAGCGGAGTAAACGTATAATTTTAATACGTACCCACTAGGCTGTGGCCCTTATCTGCATCGAATCACTTTTTTTTTCCTGACTACTTTCTGACCACCATCGTGTTACGCGTAGTATGCCAAATGTCAGAATAAAACAAAAAAAAAATAAAAAATCATTTCTGATGGCTATATAAGCTCCCCAATGGGCTACATATAACAAGACAACGTTGATTTTCTCGCCAACTATTTGGCATATTCAGTAGTGCTTAGTACAATATGAATATGACCGTAGTTAACAAGTTCAGATCTTCATCATCTCTTCTGGTTCTCTGCAGCTCACTCTAATAAATGCGTAAGCGAGTTTAAATTTTTGAAGAAGACATCATGTGATTCAAATTATTATAACGAAAACAAATTGCTTCTTCAAATTCTCTCAAAGTCCAAAATTCAGATTAATCCTCTAATTAGGAAAAAAAAAAAAATAAACAAAACAAAATTCATTGCATTCTTAAAAAAATATTTTTATTGAAATCTTACAAATTAAAGGAGTTTCGCAAACATTCAAGAATAATAAATATATATAATAAAAATCGGACGATGTTTTCACGAAATTTCGTCTCATCGTTGCTGCATTCAAATCATCCCTAGGTAAAAAATGTTAAAAACTTAAATGTCGTCATGGCTTGACAGTCATTGCATTCTCGTTCTTAAGCCAGACTAAAGACTAGTTTACTTAGTAATATTACTTACTATTGGTATCTCACAAACGATGGCTTTAAATAGTGATATTAATTAATAGAATCGCGTTGTAACTTCGCGGAAACCACTTTTAAATGATCTGCGTGCTTAGAATAGTTTTCGCTCAGATGCCACGACTTGATCTGGCTATCCTGGTAAGACGGTAAAATACATTTCATCTGCAGGTATTTTCCCAGCGCAACAGTCATTTATACAAAATACCAAATATGAAAAATATATTCGGCCAGGGCCTTCGCATTCACATTTGGAATGCACCTAATCATTTCCGTCTGTCCACCTGTCTGCCTGCACAGCTGTGAAGATATCGTCTAAAAATTTGCAAAAGAATTTGATAGCGACTTAAACCTTTCCAAGGACAACCCTACAGCGCCTCTATACCTATGTGGCAAAAAGCTTTATTTCGAAAGTAGAAAAAATCCCATTTTATAGAGCATGAAAATTTAGTTCTTTTACTTTTCTCGTCCTCATCACGATCGGATATAATTTTCTTACTTGTTCCTTTGTGACAATCCAATGCCTGCTTAATCAACATAAGAGATCCAAAGTCAATATGAACTTTTGCTTCGGAAAATCGCAAAAATTAAGTTACGAAGCAGATAACTAATAATTCGATTAATACTGAAAAGTGAAATTTGAAAGTTAGTTTGAGGTATCTTCAACAACTCACAGAGCTAAGGAAGGCTGACAAACAATCAATCAAAACATCAAAATATCATTCTCGGTCACCTCTCGAACACCTTATAGTTTATACATACATTTAATTTTTGATATAGAAATTTACTCTTACGCGATCTTAGGGTTTTACGCGAACGTAATCAAGATCGCTCAAGATCGCCAACAAGCCCGAGAAGATTACGTTTACATTCACGGGCTACGTGTTACTTGCTTCAAAGAAAATTTTTTTTTTTTTTGCATAATTTTCACATCCGTATTTTATATATGCTTGAGATTACTTTTAATCAGGCAAAACGATATTAACAATGAATGAGTCTTCGGGACACGTCTGATTAAAGATGAGTATTCTTTCAATCTTTGTACAAAGCTTGTTTGACTCATTTTGAGGGGTTCTCGGAGAGCTTATGTTGTTTTCAAATAAATAAAAAAATATAAAATAAACAGAGAGAGAGAGAGAGAGAGTGTAGTGTTGCCAATCATTTATAATGAATCTGAAAAGATAAGCGCCAAGCACGAAGATCTTCGTCTTCGTAGAGAATCGACATAACATTTTTAGGGAACTAATTGGATGAGAAAAGCACCGATGTATGAAACGGTTAGTACGAATTTAAGTATTGCTGAAGAATGCAATAATAAATCATGTTTTTCTTTTTTATTTAATCTTTGATAGGTTTAATTAGGGCTGTTAAATGATATTATGACATGTACATATATTAAATGGAAATAAAATCAATAAAATCAGTAATAAAGGAATTATATCAAGTGTTCTTAATTTACCAAAGGGACTTTATTAAGTTACCGCAATATCTGTTTAACAATTAAATGTTTTTGCAAATATTTTTATTCTCGATTTTATTTATTTCGTTCGTCGAGACGCTTAGTTGCAATAATTCGTAAATTTTTCTGCTCGTACTGCTCTAAATCCATTCTAATGCAGTTTACTTCTTAAAGTTCAGCACAAATTGAGGAAATAATATTTAAAGGCCGTATCAAATTTAAGATGAAATCACAAAATAAATGGGAAGTGAAGCAGTAAAGATATATCTCTCTTAGGGCGACCGGTTTACACGTGAAAATTATAAAAGATACAATCAATCATGTTACGATCATGTCAACCAATCGATTTGACCTTTCATAGTCCCACCGACAGTACCGATCGTATCATGAACGTAAGGAATTGAGATTTTTGCCAATTATGTTCTTAGCGAATGTTTTTCTTTAAGAGTTCGATTAATATCTCATATTGATTATTAGTTAGGGATATGTGTTTGTTGCGGGCCTGGGTCTAGACGGATGGCGGTGGCGATTTTATAACGCAAGTTTGATCTTTTTATTTTAATTTTAAACCAATACGATAGAGAAATAAGCAAACGGATAGTGTTAGATCGACTCGGAACCTTGCTCTGAGACTTTTTTGCGCGAGTTACAGACGAAAGAGAACAAGACTAGTGTAAAGCTACCTTCTGATGATGGATGGATGATAACGACTTAGTCACAGTTTGTTTCATAATGAACAATGAAAGCAATTAAAAAGTTTTTTTTTTTTTTTTTTTTTTGTGAACAAATTGGTGATAAATCGAAATCATTTTCCCATGACTTGTTCGAATACTTTACGTAACGTAAACGAACTTACAGGTTTCACGGATTTTCAATCATTCATCTATTTGAGAGATGCTTTCGAGCTTTACCTCAGAATGTCAAAAGTTAATTTCATTTTATTTTTTCTATCTTTTAAGTACGGCGTAGCGGATAAGTTGTAATACCGCAATTCGATGTCAACGTTTATTACAAGCGTAATAACAAAATTATACACTTGAGAATGGATATTAAAAAAAAAATAAAAAAAAAACTAATAAGCGAAATGAAAAACAATAACAAAATAAACGAAAATCAATAAATATATATGTTTCGCTTAATCATCAATAGGAGGTAAGTGCATTTATAATTATTGTGTATATCATGCGGCACAAAGTCACCCTGAATGTTATGTACAAAAATTTCGCATCTCCTTGCATGAAAATAAAAAATGTACAGCCCCCACAGCAGCACGCATTTAAATCCTAACATACATACATATATGTAAACATTTGTGTCGATAGTCCAATTACCCATTGATCTTTGTTGTATTTATTATTTGTTTATAGTAACGATAGTCAATAGTGTTTGTTTACGCTTTAAGTAAAAAAAAATAAAAACAATAACAATAACAACAACAACAACAACAACAACAAAAGCATTGTATACATTGGCAATATTAGGTGGTTTAAATGATACTTAACTTGCGCTGTGAATGGAAAATATTTATAATCGTTTCGTTCATTCAAGCTAAACTCATGTACGCTATGCTATATTAAGCTCGATACTTGATTATAAAAAATGAAATTGCAAATAATGTTTAAATGTCTTGATTGCTTGATTGCATTTCCTGTCAGGTTTAGTATAATCTTTACAGGCTATGGTTCACAAAATTCAAGATAATCGTGTCTATTGTAAGATAACGGCGGATAAATATAATTTCCAAAAGTGTTTGTATAAAAATGTAATGTAAATTTATTATAAAAATCATATTTTCACAAGTTTTAAGTAGATACCGCCTTCTTGACTCAGTAGCGCATAGCGTTTGTCAAACGTGATATTTTCGACTGTCTTATCGCAAATCTCCAAACGGTGACGACGTAGAAAATGTATTATGCCTAATTTTATTTGCATATGTGCTACCGGCATACCAATGCATTGATGCGGTCCGGCGCCAAAGGGTAAATAAGTCATTGGTAAATGAGTTTTCTTTTGTTCGAGTGAAAAACGCTCTGGATCGAATTCCTCAGGATTAGGCCAAAACTATTTAATATTTATTTATTTTTAATTATTTTTTCATTTATATATATGCATATATATATTTCTTTTCTTTTTTTTTTTTTTGTTTTTCTTTTGTATCCAACTTACCTGAGGATCATAGTGTATGGCTAAATTTGATATAAATACCGGCATACCACGACGGGCCATACATTCGGCAAGAGGACGAAATGTAACGAAACGTTTCTTGTGCAATGGTGTGCATTGCCTCTCTAAGAATGGCACAATCGGGTATTTGCGTAATGTTTCCTCAATTACCATGCGTAAATAGGTCATATGTTCTACCTTTTCATAAGTTAACGTAGCTTCATCGTTTCCTAAAATCCTAAAAATTTCGGCATGTAAACGCTCTTGTATTGCAGGATGTCGAGCCAGTTCATATAATGCAAATGCCAAAGTGCTTGAACATGTTTGTATGCCGGCCAATTCAAAGGTGGCGGCTTGAGCTACCAGATAGTCTGGCTGATGTCCAAAATGAGATGTGTCTTGATGCAAGGCAGCCTCTTTCTTGAGCGTAAGTAACGTTTCAATCAGATCGTTACGCATGATACCCGATCGTTCCCGTTCCTCTAACATACTCAGCACCAGATTTCTCAAAAACTGTGTATGCTCGGCAGTAAACAATTTGGGTCGTATCAGTTTTACTAGTTTGGGACACAAAAATATCAAACATAAATCCAAAGCATGTCTATAAGAGATTACAAACATGTCATGACTGTGACCACCCAATTGCGAACGTACTGTATTGCGTAGACTGTAAGTTTTCAAACCGAACGCTATGCTGGCAATCATATCCGTATTGTAGAGATCGCAAATATCTTTTATCTGCACTATAGTGCTGCGAGCATTTTTATTTTTTATATCCTTAGTTAGCTTCGCTAAATAGGTTTCCAAATCGTAGCCAATCTACAAAAAAAAAAAAAAAAGAAAAAAAAAACAAACAAAAACAAAGAGCGCAAAATAAAGAGAGAGAAATTTACCCTCGCCGCTCAAGGCAGTCACTGTTAGAAGTAAAGAAAGAAAAAAAAAAAAAAAAAAAAAAGAGTTGCCAACTCAATTACAAACCTCTTCCATGAGAGAAAACATTTGGCGCATTTTCCCCGCACTAAAAACTGGCGCCAATTTCGTGCGGATGTCTCGCCATTCAGGATTTCGAGCGAAGAATAAATTCAAAGCACCCATCTTATCTTGAGCGCGGTCGCACTGGGCAAAACGATGTGAGAAATTCACATAATCTTCAACTAACACGGTATGTATTAAACGCAAATCGCGTAACAGTAACGCCGGCTGATGAAATAAATAAATACCGACCAGCGGTTCCCGCGTGAAACGTTCATTGAAATAATAATCACGTAATTGTAAAGCGAAGGAGTTTTGCATTTTAAGCACATCCTTGAGATTGCCCAGAAAATACGAAGGTGGCACAAATTTAACGCGTCTGCGACGCCAATACACATTAGTGCGACGCGACCATATAAACATACCCGTCAGTATCGTAATTACAACAAGTAAAAGAGTGGTGGCATCCACCATAGTCACCGTGCATAAAGAAACACGTTAAACTATTGAATCAACTTATATGTGATGTGCATATGTATTATTATATATATGTACATATGTGTATGCACAATTTTAAAAACACAACAATTCGACAATCGAACAAGCAAAACTTTTAAGGGTATGTATATATATATATATATATATATAAATATATATATATCAAGCACAATGAATAATATGCAGGAAAACAAGAATTTAAAAATATATATAAAAAAACTTTCAAAACAAAAAAAAATAATAAGTAAATAAATTATTTAAAAACGAAGTAAGACGGAAACGTGAATAGAGAAATAACACTTTACGGCAAAATGCACCAACTGGAAATTAAAACGCGTGTATGCAGCGATTGTATAAATCGTCGCTGATAATACACACAGCAAAAGTTCAGAGTAAACTGAGCTGAGTGTGTGGGACACTTTAATAAAACCACAAAAACCTCAAAATAAAACTAAATACAACAAAAGTTCTTTCTTTTGATGTTATCAACTGAAAAACCTCCGTTACTGAGAATTAAAAATTTCGCTCTCCACGTATGTTAAATATATACATTTGTACGTACGAAAGAAGAAGAAGAAGAAGAAAAAAAAAAAAAAACGAAAACGAAAAAACTGACGCTTCGAGTACAATAACCGACTTTATTAGTTACTACAGCAGAAAATGATATATATACTTTGTCATATGATTCGTAAAATCTAGGGATTTGAGTTATCCATCAAATAAATAAAATCTTGATTACCTTCTTTACATGTGTGCGGAAAACTGATAATATTCCGGACTATAAAAATAAAAGCGGGAACGAGAACTTTTCAAGGCAGAGATCAATTTTGAAATGTCTTCTGAATCGACTTAACATAAAGATAGAAATGCGAATATTCATTAATTCGTTCAAAATTATTAAAAAAAAAGAAAAAAAAAAGGAAAAAAGAGAAGCAACTCACATACCCCTATAATTATCTCAGATGATAGGCACAAAGAATTCGTCTTAGATCGAACATAGATCTTCTACTTATTAAATTTGCTGAAGGCAGCAGTGAGGTGGCTGTTTATGTATGCATGTATGCATGCATTTATGTTTGACTTACTTAAATAGAAGAGAGCATTGAAAGTATTGAAAGTATGCTTAATCTTATGATTAATACATTTTCATATCTAAGTTATGCAGTTAACTATAAGTAAAAAAAATTTATTTCCTTTTCTAATACAATTAGCCATTAATTGTTAACGGCCAGAAGCAGAATCGAGAGTAAATGGAATAGAGTTTAAAACAAAAAAAAAAAAAAAAACAAAAATATTTACGCCAGACTTGCAGCTTTATTTATGGATATATTAAGTCAAGGTCGTCATTAATTGTTGCCATATTCTTTAAATTGAAAGCTGTACAAGTCGCGTTCTTAACTTTAATGTGATCTCTTAAATTTTATTACCTTAATTAATCTTAAATTCTGTTCTTATGATTTTCATTTACAAAGTCCAACTAAGTAAGTGGTTAGACTTTGCCTCGTATTTCACCTTAAATAGTAATTGATAAAAGATTTTAAATAACAAACGTATTCATAAGTCAGTACTCAGTAAATTCAAGATAACACTAAACTTAGTTATGTGCTCTCTCACTCTAAGAATTTTATTATATGCTCTCTGTTTTGCTTTCAAACAGTGATGTCAACTTTTTGATTAAGCTAAGTATACAAGAAAACTACCGGAAATTAATTCGCCGTGCGGATCCCTACTTTAATAAATAATTTTTTGTTATATGCAGACGCGGCAACCGACCGATCAGAATCCATTTTGCAGGCAGACGGAAGACAATTAAATATTTGATATTGAGCGTAGGCCGAGATTGATGTCTGCCATTAGTCTTAAGCTGTTAAAGAAATAATAATTGCGCTAGTTTTCCATCTACCAGGAGTAGTGGATTGATGAATTCCCCTAAGCCGTACTCTTGGATCCCACAAAGTGTGTATGTGCTTGATTAGTTCGATGAATACGCGTTTCGATTTGTCTTGAGTTCTACTAAAGTTTATTAAGAATATTGACACAGTTGTTGTTGACGGCAGCTGACTAAAGGCTATGAGCTGACTTCCAATTTCTTCACAATGCTTTGAAAATGCAAAAAAGAAATTATTCATAAATACTACCAACAATAAATTCCCCAATTTTTTATTTACTTCACTCGGTTTTTCTATTATAAAATTTTTGGATTTCTGATACTTGATCACTTTGAGTTTAAAGTGATGAGGTTTTAAATTTGAAAATGTCTGTAGAACTATTCCCCTAAACATCTACCGGAGATATGGGATTAAACCATCGTGATCATTAAATGTCAACTCTTGTGATATTTCATTCAGAATATCCAAAAAGGGGATGTACGCCAAATCTCGTCTTTAGAGAATTGATTGCAAAGAAATCTAATCTTTTGGAAAATAACGATTGATGCGGGGCTTCTTTTAAAGGCGGTTCTAAGAATGATGAATTGTCCTCTGCCTATGCAGTAGTAGGTGACACAGATCAAGACCAAATTAATCACAACCTACGCGGAAGTACGTCAACATTTATATTTGCGAAACTAGAGCTGTCCTTACAGCGGCAAACCTTGCTGGCAAAGCTAAACTTAAAACGTTTATCATCATAGACAGTTGCGCGATCATGATAATGATAGCATAAAAGCTATTCGCAATTTCTTAAATTTCAAGTGGATCATCGTTAACAAATTGAGGAAAGAATACCATTGTCGCAAATTTGTATTTTAAATTTTTTTTAGGTACCAAGTCATATTGGCCTCTTGGGAAGAAAGCAAGCACATCTAGCGGTCAAAAGCTCAGTTTTCTCACCTTCAAATTATGGATAATTAAAAAGTTTCGCCTTCAAAAGCATATTAGGGAAAAAATTGAAGCAAACACTGAAGTGAAAATCGACAGGACTAACATTTACGTTACGCAATATATGCAATCTGAACTTCGTTCCACCTCTATATGCGATCAAGATTAAAACATTTGCAAGAATCCGATTTGGGCATACGGTTGCAACACATCAACCGATCGTTAAGAAATCTATTCGCCCGATTTGCGATTTTGGGCAAAATCATACAATTAAACTTATACTTTCTGAATTGAAACATCTATCTAATATTCGAACGGGACAATTTTACAGGTTAATTGTTTCAAATTGTTGCCATTGTTCGTAAGATATCAATAGTAATGCTTGAGTCCAATGTTATGATGAGCTCTAGATAGATGCAAATTGAATGCATGAGAAAGCTATTTTCAGCATAGTAATTGCTGCCTGGATAGGCTACGGAGTCCAAGGCTTAAAAAAACGTTGTGTCTATCATCAGACAACACTTGAGCGCTGTCAACGTTCTACAATCTTTGTCTGGTAATTAATTTATTAGCATTACGTGCGCACATCCATAATCTTAATGAAGGAGTTGAGAACGACCTTTGATGTACAATTTGTTCTTTACTTACGTTACGTAACATTTGCATTTTGTCTATCTTTGCTCTCTGCAGAGTATATGAGATGTATAAGTAAATTACGAAGAATTATTTGGTGAAATTTCAAAATTTATTAACAAAAAAGAAATTGCATTTTACAAAAGTTTCGTCAATTGTTAGCCAAAGGATTTTGCCGCCTTTGTGGCCGCTTATGAAGTCGGTGCTGCAAGAACAACTGAACAGTTTGAGGATATCCATAGAAGAATCCACTTCTTAGTATTGCTGTCATAAGGAATGAAAACGTTGCGAAGACAGATCGTAAGGCATCGAGGTATAGAGATACGATTGCGATAAGTATAAGCAAAAATGTTCAACCGTGATGTAAGCAGGCGTTGTGTTGGTGTTTAGTACACTGACTAGTTACACGTCATGAATATTCCATGTTTCCCTGAATGTGGATAGTTTTTTTGAGTTTCGGATTATCGTAACGTATTCGTCTCCATCATAAGGTAAAAGATAATGCAAAAAATGCCTCTATTTTCATCCTTAAAGTATTTGGTTATATGTGCAAAAAATTCCTTTCAACACTTTGTATAAATTTCGATATATTCATTGAGCAAAAAAAAAAAAAAAAAAAAAAAAAAAAAAAACACTATGTTGTTTCCACTTCTTCGACAACATCATGTACACTGTGGTGTACGTACAACTAAAAGATAGAATTTGGAGATGAATCCACTGCTACAATATTCTCTCGTGCAACGGACCACCAAATTACTGCCTCTTTTAAGAGATTTGAAAGGAATACATCCTTTGAATATATTAAATGCCATCGTCTAAGGTTGTATTCAGATTATCGATATATTTACTTTACAGTAATCGCTATAAGGATATAAAGTGAAAGTGTTTTATTTCAATATATTACTAATTCTTCCATAAGGTATTATTTATCCAATTCTTTTCTTCTTTAATTTCTCAATTCTTTTATGTTGCGCTATATTGTCGGATCCCCAAGTCTGACCAGCCTAGTAGTCGTCTTTGTTTTCTATGACTGAGACTGCTCACTCGAATCGAAATGATAACATTAAACCTAAGTTGACTCGTGACGTGACCACTTACTTAGTGTGATGCCAGAGAAACTGAAAGAAATACGTAAAGCACGATTTGTGTACCGTCAACACTTTAAAGTAGGAACATCTGAGACATTGTGAAAGGCTATTGCACATATTCCCAAAGGTGGGTAAGAAACAAACGGCACCGTTAATGTCTAATGTAACATACGGTTAACTACAAAGCGATTAGGTGATCACTCAGAGAAAGTCGTATAGTCGTATAGAACTGGAATAAATGTCACGACTTAAACCTAAATGCATTAACCGAAAATGATGCGTTCAAGCGCAAAGAAACTCCTGAAAATGCAAACTACGCGATAATGGAATTATTTGAATCTATCAACATTTTTCCAATATTAAAAGGAATGTCCTGCAAAAGAAATATCAAAAAAAAAAAAAAAAAATGTAATGAATGATAGACAATACGCGGTAATGATTAATAATATGTAACTCTATAGAGGGCAGATAAAAGATAATGCGTGAGGAATAGCGGATAATAGGTGCACGCATAACAATGCACAATAACAATAATAACAATAAAAACAAAAACATCATAGCATTTAATATATCATATGTAGGTATGTTATCTGACGAAAGGCGTGAAAGTCGCCACAACAAAAGGGTTCATCTTATCGAAATTATTAAATCCCATGAAATCTTTTCTTACGTTTTGTCGAATTCGTAACCATGTAAGGCTAATGTAAGGCTT